TTCTGTGCTTTCGCAGATGACAACTCTACCGGCTTCTAGATGGTAGCACGGACATAGGTGCGATCGATGTAGTTCTAGAATGGTCTCGACAGTGGGACTTGCCACTCTCCGGAATTAAGTCGAAAGTACTGCATCTAGGCAGCCGCAATGGACAGCACTGTTACACGATAGACGGCACTATTCTCAACAGTGTGCATGAGGTACAGGATTTGGGATTCCTGGTGACTGATAATCTTGACTTTGATGCACACTGCAGGTTAATAGCCAAGAAAGCTACTGTTATGACTCACAACTTGTTTCAGAGTTTTGCAACTAAAAATGCATCGATACTACTACAGGCTTACAAGACTTTCATCAGGCCAATTGTAGAATACGGTACTCCCGTGTTCAATCCCTATAAGGTCAAAATGATTAACGCATTGGAGAGAGTTCAGAACAACTTCACTAGGAAGCTCATGGTACGCGTATTAGGGTTCCGTTATGATCAAATTCCCTCCAGTGCCGCTAGAAACAAGAACTTTGAGTTGTCCACTCTTGTGCTAAGGAGGAAGCGGAACGATCTCCTGCTGTTGCATAAGCTCCTGCGTGGTGGACCTATTGAACTTGATGGTCTTTTTTCGCTCAAATCGTCTATTACTCGGGGAAGCACTATTAAATATAACCTTGCTAAAGCGAGGCTGAATAGTAGGCGTCATTTCTTTACTCACAGAGCTTTACCTTCATATGAGAAACTCGATAAAAAGCATCCAATACCGTTAAGTTACAGCACATTCAAGACTCTATTGAATAAACGCTTGAGTCCATGAGGCCTTATATGAGTTCACGTTATTTTCGATTTATTATTGTCGTTTTGAATATTCACTAATAATGTCTCTCAGGAGTAGTTTTTGCCTAAATTGTCCTTGTACACGCACACAATTTCGTTGTGTAATAAATACTAATACTATGAACAAGTTTCTGGTCTAATTGAAACTTTGGTCCAAACTTCGACTTTTCGGAGAGGTGGTAAGCGTCGTAAAGGGGTATGCAATAAATAATCCTATATTTGATCTCTAGAGTCAGATATTGATCCACTCAATCTGCTCTGTCGTTAGCTCGTAACTATTTCAAAAATTAGTGTGAAAGCCGCTATTACAGTCGAATCAAAGTTCGCACCAACGGGGAGAAAACCCTGCAGGTCGTGCCCTTGAAGCGAGACCGCTACCACCAACAATAAGCCGCGGTGGCACCTTCCAACAATCCATCAGCAGCGCTTACGTGCCAAAATTGTGTTTTCGCAAACTTGCCCGCTCATAACTCGTCTGTGATGTCCTCGCAGCACTATTAAGTTTTCATATTGGTAATCAGCATTCACAACTCTGTCAAGGTACCTAGGTCTCAATCTAAAGTTCGATGGGAATTTGAAACCATTCCCCGTAAGATGTGCAAATCTCGCGATAGGTCAGGTCACTCAAGCAAGCGGTATCAAATAACCACTTCCACTATTAATCCAGCGCCCCAGCGATAAGACTTTATGGCAGGATTTGCAGGGCACATTTGACTAAAGAATCTAGGTGGCCCAAATTGAAGCACTGAATCAAAAAAAAAGGCAGAAAAAGGGATGTGAAAAGAAGCGTGAATAACGAACCGCATGAATTAAAGGCCGGTGAACAGTTCGCAAAAATTTTCTAGGTGAGTTTGCCCAATAAACAGTACGCGCGCGTAACGGAAGTCGGACAATGGCCCTAGAAATCTACAGCGTATTCAATGCTCAGCAAGGCATCTGGATAAAACTGTCAACCAGATCGGGGCGGATTAAACAGGACAGGCAGCGTCAGCTCCGCTCTGTTGCTCCAGCTACCATCGTCAACACCAATCGGATTTCGATCCCAAGAGTGGATTTGCAATGCATGATGATTGCGGACGTCCGCGTTCGATTTTCAAAATGGAAGGTTTGTTTTTAAAGCTTGGTTGACCGGCGGACGCTAGCTTTAAATTCACCACCTTATTATTATCCAACAAATTCACCGCACACTTTATCAAATCAAAAATGGCACAGCACTTCTTAGCAACAGGAGACAGATGTCACCAACCAGATTTACGCAAGACACCACTGACGAGCCACGTCCCGAGACTGTGCACAGCCTAACTAAGTGTCAGCGCAGGACAACGAATACCTTCGAAATTACATAGTTCTTGCCAAACATTTTTGAAATATTCATCAATCCACCCTTTGCCGCAGCGAATGCTACATCGTAAAGGCGCAATTCATGCCGGCATTCAAGGCTTCGCGACACTTGGGCCATCACCCACTTAAGCCTTATGCACGAAATTGATATTTTTTCAAAAATTAGCACTTTTAGGAGATGCTCCAACAAGCCCCGCTAGTGTGAGGCCGCGCAACCTATTGAAGAAGCCACACGCCCCACTTCCCAAAAAGTAAGTGAAAATCACTATAAGGGCCCTTGACTTCCATGTTAAGGGACATACGGCCCGTCACATTACAGAAATAGAACTTTTGCTTGCATTATGTTGTTCCCGAAGTGACAGACAAGACTCTAGCACGCGAGCCAAGACTCTATACTGCCGATTTTCACAACTTTTGAAAAGTGGCCGGGGCTTCTGCAAAGTGGGCAGAGCATTTCATAGTGGGCGGGGCTCTCGTGGAGCCAATCCAAAGAAATGCAAAAAAATCTGAAAAAAAATATAAATTCCAGCAAAAGCAAGTAGGTGCGTGGCCAAGGGGCGAAGCCCCCCTGAATATGCCCGGACATAGAATGCGGTTTACGAGTATCTCGTTGCGCAAAGAGAGTGGTGTGAAAACCTAAAAAAAGTTAAAGAATTTTATTGTTTCCGAAGTTCGCAACCAAGACCCTCTGAGACCTGGCGAAGTCGGGGCCATGTGTTGAAAAATCATGTCCGGCGCCCCTGGCAAGTAAGGCGTGAACAATCGGCAGGGACTCGCAGTAGGTAGTCCGGCGTGATCTGGGCTGGTGAAGCTGCCCGTCTAAAAAGAAGTGAATTTGATTGAAAGTAGAATTCAAAGTGAAATAGAATATCAAATGCTGGACGGTAAAATACTTAATGAATGTTACTCTGATGACGTTTAAGTATATATTCATGCTCGGGCTCAGATCCTAAAAAACACACAAATTTCGGAGGATGATAGTGCATCAATAACAAGTCATTCTTCGCTTGCAGAGTAATTCGATGAGTGAACAACTTTCGCAAGATAAAGGCTCACTGATCAAACTAGAGAAGCACATAGAGCAGTCACTCCAAAGCTCTTCACTTAATCCCATACTATTTATAGAAGTAGAACGGCTTGGTATAGGACTATCTAAAAGTCGCCGGTGACCGGAACAAAAAGTCAGTGTAGATTGGAATGGCCTGCCGGGAGACTGCTACATGGCCAGAATCTATTGCCATCCAACATGGATGAGCATGGCGAGGAAAATACGGAGAAGGAATACGTTGTGGAGAAAAGAGATAACATGTAGTACGGTCCGCCAAAATGATCCATAGGGCGTCACTAACAACTCCCCAAATGCTGGAGCACAGATAGCGGAGAAACTATGGTGAGTCGATGGGGATGTGCCTTTTCGCTTAAACAGAAAGCAGCACTGGCAAATCACTTTCAGACTCACCTCACTGGAGGTCCTGCAACGACAAATTCCGATGTAGAACCTTGTGCACATACTACACCTTTTCACATATGTACAGAGGGCAATGACATTTCACTCGTGGGAAGTACCTAAAACATCTATCGCAGGAACTAACGGGCATACTATGGTACACTGGACACTGATCTCAATCCATTCATCTTCTGAATACTTAGAACTGTGTAAGGTATCTGGAATCACAAGACGTTTGGCATTCAGTTTGACGTGTAGATGGCCGTGAAAATTGGAGTATGAATCAAAGCTATGTTGTCCGAAAACCTGGGTTGCTAGTATTTTTCAGCATTACCGTTACACTCATTGAACTTGCATGCAATTACCCAGCATTAGGAATAAAAGCTACTTCAGGGTGATGCCAAATCTCCCGGCCTATCTTACCTCCAATGACGGATGGCATCAGCCTGTTGTGAGATTTGTGTTGCAATCTTTCGTGGGAAGGGGGCCGGGGAATGTTGAGGGGAGAGGTGAGGTTGAGCGGTCGCTCATAAGAAAACATCTACGATATATTTTCTCAACGGTGTAAGCCTCGATGATACACTGAGGCGAAATATCTTTCCCCTGTAAAATACAGTGAGCAAGAGTGCGTTCACACTTAGCGCCAGCCTTTTGAGCACAGGCCAGCGTTTTGAGCGACTAGGGAGGTACAGGCGAACGCCGTAACGCTGGATCGATACCTACTTTGCTAATGGCTCGAGAAGCTATTGAGCCTTCAAAACGCTGACAAAAACTACACCCTAAGGTATTCGAAATGACTTTCGCAAACATTGCATGAAACGTTTGCTGCACAAAATAAACCTCACATATTCAGAGATACAAGGAACAGTGGTTGATTATTTATTGCATCAATGATTTAGAAACCCATGAAAAATGTTTTTACATAACGACAAGTGACGGCCAAGCACGTCACTAAGGATGAGCCAGGTGAAAAACGCAAACATTACGTTGCACGAACAGGAGGCGAAACAAGAATTACAGAATCACCACGTACGTATAACATTGGAATCGTTCTCTTTGTTTGTCGATAAATCTCCTCAAAAGACTCTTCATCTACTTCTGAGGTTGTCACCGTTTCTTCAACCTGAACGAAGTTCTTTACGGTGGAAAAGGAGTAGAAAAGAAAAAAACTCACATTCGATAAAATCATGTTGAGGTGCTGGTCGTAGGCATGAAGTCGTCCACGAATCTGAACAGTGCGAACAAATAGCAGTTCTCATACAACTCCAGCTGTACCTTCGAGCGCCATGCCAATAAGAAAGGTTCGGTACAAAGCACCCAAAGCCGCGAAGCATGGCTGCAACAAAACTCGAGCTCCTTCCCTCCAGGCTAAGGCGAAGTCCTTATTAGCTGGCTTGGAATCACTTTTTTCTTACCGTCTAAGCAAGATCCTTCCTTACTGGAGTAGTGCCTAAGATACAGAGATTACAAAACTTCACAAACCTCCCTATCGTTCCGCATCTTTACATATACTCTTTCATCAAGACTGAGTTTAATGAGATCGAGCGGCTCTTCTACAGTGCTGGACAACATCTGAAAGCTTCTTTTCCAAGAACACAGAAGCCGTAAAGGCTCAATCAAGAGAGGAAAACATAGAAGTAGCAAAAATCATACCTGAGGAACTTCTTTCTTATCCGCCATTTTTAATTAGGGAACGAAAACTGCTATAAATAATCTTGGTGAGCATGAATCACTATGAGATCACACGTGCAAGATAGTATTCCGGCCGAAACCACAGAAAATTAATAACGAAGAATAGATACAACATTTATTACTTCGAGCCGAGAAGTTTACATAGGTAAAAGATAACTCTTTGATAAAAAAATGTACAATGTAATACATACCTTCTTACCGACAGTGCATAATATTGTTAATAAATAATAAATAAGAATTGTAACTTGAAAACCACCAGCAAAACAAAATCCTGACAATTAACACTGAAATTGTGCAGAAGAGGAAACAACAAACATTGAAACGAAAGCTGAATGGAATGAAAAAAACAAGATAGAGGAACATTTTCTATCCGTAAGAAACTCTAGCAGAACAGACATAGTGGAGCTTGGCCTCAGGTTCCAGGAATCCTATGGGACCATATTCACAATCGGCACAGGTCAAGTATTTCATCCCGTCGACAGAGTTTGTGAATCCCACATTCTCGAAGTCATACATGTCCCGAACCGTCCAGAATCCACTAACAGCTTCCTAAAGTTGCAAACTGAGCTGAGGAAGAAGGTTATCAAATGGAAGTAAAAGTGTGGAGTATCTGATGCAAAGCAAGGAAACTCGGAAACCCAATACGACATTAATCGCGACGTTCCCTCCCTTGTGCGACATGAGCGCGTCTGCAGCTGCAGTAGCAAGTCACGTTATCCTTCTCCGCTCAAAGGGCGCGGAACGGGACTGGATTTTGTGATAGTTGGATGTCCGTCTCCGATGTTCCATCTCCGCCCGCGCTATCCTCAGTGTGCAGCACTTGCATGCATGCCAGTCCCGCCGCAACAAAAAGCGCAGCGGTAGAGGACAGCCAGAGAAAGTGTGGGCGCCCACAAGTAGCGAGACGGTACACTAAATCACTAACTCTCTGTTTACAGTTAGGCGGAGGAGCAAGCAAGGAACTGCAGCTGCAGACTCACTCAACTCACGCTCGGCAAGGACCAGGATTCAAGTGAATGTACAGTTCGTCCTTAATCCAAAATCAAACGCGAAAGAACAACGAGCAAGAAAGGTCACTGAATAAAGAACAACCCCTTCTAAGGTTACGTCAAGAGTGATTCTCGACGAAAGGGTAAATACGGAACTTCACTCACTGGCTGTCTGTCCACTTACAGGAGTTGGGTTTCGTTCATAGCTTCAACGTGGATAATTCGCAGAACGGAAGTACCAGTGAATTGACCCCCCCCCCTGAATCTTGCTTAATCCTTGTTCATTCTTTCACATCACAAATTTTTCATTCGCAACCCATGTAGGCGATTTTGAAGCTTTCCACAATGACATGAAGCTTCAAGGCCCATTCCGCAATCATCCGTCGGAAACTCCATGATAGCGGGGTTGAAAAACAGTAGAGCAGTTCTAGCTGCCTTACCGTGTAAAAGAAAGCGGAGGAAAGCGGAGAACCCGTCGGAAACGCCCTCAATAAGGACCTTTTTTCCAAGGAAGGGGTGAAGTGAATTTTGTTTCGAGCGAAGGGTGAGGAATTGTTCAGTCTGAATTTTGTTTCGAGCGAAGGGTGAGGAATTGTTCAGTCTGAATTTTGTTTCGAGCGGGGGGTGAGGAATTGTTCAGTCTTCGCATGAAATCAGAAAACAGCTGCGGAAGAGCATACAAACGGGCTAGACGACAGAGCCCATAGAAGGCCGAACTCACTTGCGCTCTATTTGAATCACCTGACCAACCTCACGTCTTAACGCCCCTAAGTTACAACTTTCTGACGCCGAATAGGTATGATTTTGTTCGGGGACCACGCTGTCTCCCCATTTGCAAGAATTGATTCTCACTTTTAATCGCAAAATCCCCCTTGAAAAAACAGGAACTGAAGCATTAAATACGCTATGAAATCGTCACCTTTTGAGTGTCTACGTCTTTTTGCTGTCGACACAGCGGCAGCACTTCTTCCTTGTTAGTCCAGCGACCAACGCCAGCAAGCAAAATGACGCTGTTGCAAATGCCACATATAAGACGCTGATCGTTGGGTGAACCCTCAGTCACGCTTGAGGTCGATTCCTTCAACATTTTGAATTAATTAATAATAAGGAGGCACAGCTGTAACCCAGGTCCGCCACGTTATCAGAGGAAACATGCCATTGAAGCTATATACCATGTTAATGGCGAAATCCTAATTATATCACTTTCATTTCAAATAGGACGACTTTCAAACTAATCTGGGCACACCCCTAACGTTGGGCAGCTGATTAACCAGACCAAACTAGGTACTACTACAAGCTTCGTCTGAATATTTCCACGCTCCTCCCAACGCGGTCACTGCATCAAAATATTTTATGAAATTTTCTCCTTTAACTTTTGCTAATTCGCATTCGAACTGAAAAGGATTGGTACCGACACAGGAACGAGTTCGCCCACTTTATGATGAAGCTATCGCAATTTTCGAACTTTAATAACCTTTTCGACGTTATTCTTTTCACATTCTTTCTTCAAAAAACGAATGTACTCATGGATATGCATTTATACACTGGCACAAAGCCCCCGCACGCCAGACCACACCCACCTTTGCGGCTTTTTGAGGAATTTACAGTTCTTCCTTCAAAATTTTCGCCTTCTCAGGCTAACCGCTAGCGCCGCCCACTTCGCGGAACTCCGCCCACCTTTGAAAAATGATTAAGAGCGGTAAAATGGAGCCCGACCTGCAGCTCATAGTCTCGCTCGTCACTCGGAACAAACTTTCTTTGGTTTTCCCGTCTGGGTGACGGGAGAGACCATAATTTGTCAGTTCTGCTCTAGCCTACAGATCTGAACCATTTTCTGAAGTGGGAGGAGTTCTGTGAAGGGGCGAGGGTGCTGGGACGCGGCTTGCAGCGGTGCCTAACGTGGTCCAATTAATCAACTGCCCAATGTGAGAGGTGTGTCCATTCAGTTTGAAGAGTGTCCTTTTTAGTCCAAAAAGACCGATTTGAAATGAAGTATATATCAGCTCTAGACACAGACAGTAGATTATCGCTGGCGTCATTCAACGTCATTAACACGTTGAGTGATGATCTACCTCTTTACAGCTTGTCTATGTATGCTACGTCACCGCCGAAGGAAAGTAATAACAACTGAAAAGGAAGTTACAGAAACACCAAACGACTGATACACCCACTTTCGGATCCGTCGACGATATCGTAGTGCATGAAGGATTGGATGAGCTCATCTTTTAGCTTTATTTGTCTAAAGAAAAGGATGCTGGAACGCATGGGAAGCACATCGGAATAGCTGATCAAAACAGGTTACCTGTACAAGGAGGCGATTTTGTCACGTTGTCTTTGTTCGTTATTCTGAATGTCGGGTATCAACAGGATTGCTTCACGTAGCTGTTCCAAGCCCGATTCGACTTGTCGCAAGCGAACAGTCAACTCAGATCCACTTCCTTTCTCGAACCTTTAATGGAGGGCTAATGGTCAATGTGCTGAAAGAAGACCAGAATTGGAAATGAATAAGAAAGCCTAGCACTTACGAGCAAATGAGGTGGAGTAGATCAGAATATATTTTATTGAGACTATTCTGGCACTGTTCTTCTTTATTTTCAGCAGCGTTCATCCAAGACGGTTTCTTTGGAATATAAATTTGGATTTTGGCCGTAGGAAATTCACAAACGTCCTTCAAAATGTCGCAACGGAAATAAGCGCGCTTTCGTTTTCGAAAGGTGCTGTTCAATTGCGGACATTGTGTGCATTACGGATACTACGTTATACAAGCCGAATTGGCATTTGCTGTGGGAGTTAGTTTTTTTACATGCTTGGAGCTTAGTGTTTCATTATGATCCATTTTATTCAATGTTTCTCACACAGATGGATGATCTTCCACATTTCGATATCAAGCCAACTTCCGTGCAAAAAATAGTGGATCATTCGTAGACCAGATCCGACGGACCCACACCCCATCGCATGCTTATCATTGTGGATCGCGACACCATTGAAGGAAGATGCCAGGGTGAAGCTAGGTAAACCTTGATTTGTTTATTAGAAAATTGTCTCGCGCCTCTCAACTCGCACTCGGGCGGACGTAGCGCAGTCGAGGAGGAACACACTTGCGGCGCAGCTCTTTGCTCCTCTTCCCGCCCGAGATCAGTGGTTGAAACAACCATTACAGTATTCACCAGTTTGGCGTGACCGCGCATTACGCGCCGAAAAACCGGATTGGTACTGCAACAATGGTGAATTTCTGTGGGTGGCCCCCTAAAGCTCCCCCCTACCCTGTTCCCCATGCTTCTCAACAACCACGACAAATTCATCAAATTGCTCCGTCTTATGAACATGTTTCCAACGTCTATGTGCTTATCACAACACTCACCATTCGTTGGAAATGAGACAACTAAGCGGTTGAAAGAGTTTCAATGGTAACAATATCGGAATCATAGTGAAGTGTTCCTACATCCTAATTCCGGTGGACCAGCTTCAATATCGGTCTATTGGCCTGGCTCTTATCATTCCTCTGGCAAACAATTTTAGGCTTTTACTTCTGGGTGGTACTCGAAAGTTTAGCGGTCGGATCAATTCCGACTACATCTCAAGGGATAGGAACATCTCGGCTCACTAAGGTTTTGCCCATTAATTCTTGGGCAACGGTGGTCAAGTTCAGTCGCAGGCATAGTAAAGATGCAGTAACCCGTTGTTGCTCCGACTCTTGCATTTCAAGGCCTTCCTGGAGCGGCCGCCCCCTATGGTACTGTATCGGCTGTTGTCAGGTCCTGCTACCCACCATTAATGCGTATCCTGCCCCATATATTACTCCTTGAAAACAACGTTCTGCCGCTCTGCCTGATGAGCGCGTTATGATGTTCTGAACTTCCCTTTCTAAGCCTCTTTATGGTATCTTATCGGCTGTTATCACTTCCTGCCACCCACCAAAAATGTCCCCATCCTGCCCACTATCTCACTTCTTGAACCAACGCTCTACCGCTGCTGTGACGCGCGCTGTGAATTTGGTGACCCTTACCTTCTAAGGCTCCTTATGGTATCTTATCGGCTGTTATCACTTCCTGCCACCCACCAAAAATGTCCCCATCCTGCCCTCTACCTTACTTTTTAGAACCAACGTTCTACCGCTGCTGTGACGCGCGTTATGATGTTGCTGAACTTCCCTTTCTAAGGCTCTTTATGGTATCTTATCGGCTGTTATCACTTCCTGCCACCCACCAAAATGTCCCCATCCTGCCCTCTATCTTACTTCTTGGACCAACGCTCTACCGCTGCTGCGACGTGCGCTGTGAATTTGGTGACCCTTACCTTCTAAGGCTCCTTATGGTATCTTATCAACTGTTATCACTCCCTGCCACCGACCAATAATGTTCGTGCACGACCCCCTACATCACTTATCAGTTTGAGGGCTCTATCGCTCTTTTGAAGGAAGTTATGAATTTTGGCCGGTCAAACACACACACACACACACACACACACACACACACACACACACACACACACACACACACACACACACCAACAGACAAACTTAGCGGATTATATATAGTAGGATCATTATTCAGTACGTTGTGTGGTAACACTGTTACCGCACATTCAGCTGAAATGAGACTCAGGAACAGAACAATACTTCGATGGTCAGTACGTTGTGTAAGACAACGCCAAAAAGAAAAAAACAAAACATCGAAACAGAATTCAAAATCCAAAACAAGTGAACATGCAGAAAAAACAAACGACAACTTTGAGAGAAGCAGCTGCTCTGCTGCGGATTTCTGAAAGTGCCAAAGAACCGATAGAAAGGTGAAGTGGGTATACCCACTGGAAGCTTGCCCAAAAGCATAGCGTTTGCTGCTGAACTACTGTCTGCTCCTGCCTGTCTGTTCGGCGCTATTGAAGCGACGGGAGAGGGGCTTTCTATCTGCGGAGCGTCCAAGGCTTTTGCGAAGCTATATTTATTTATTTATTTATTTATTTATCATGCACGCTAAGGTGCGCCACAATGTCAGCAAGAACCATAGTTTACAGGTAAAAACATCCAAGTAGTATATGAAATGAAAAAAAAAACAAACAAAAATAAAGCAACGCAAAACACGTAAGTAAGAACCATTCCGAAGCTTGGAATCATCTAGAAATCTTGCATGCCTATCAGATTCATTAAGTCCACCTTCTTCAATTTACTTCTAAACGCATAAATGCTAGGCGCCTCCTGCAGGTCCGATGGCAGGGACTGAATCCATCTCGCTCCTCGGGCAAATAGTGAGTTAAAAACCTGTGTTCGGTGCCTTCCGTATAATTTATGACATTGTAAGGACAGCGAAGAGATGCGGCCGTTCGCCGGTCTGAACACCCAGTACTTACTGGGTTTCAATCTTAGCTCTCCTTTCAATATCTTGAAACAAAACACAATATCATTGAACACCCTCCTGTACATTAATGATTTGAGATGAAAAGCTGTAAGCGTTCCCTATAACTGGGTAAGCTAACTGGGTATGAGGGGTCAGGGTAGCATCTATACATCAAAATTCTGGTAAAAGTTTGCTGGACCTTCTCGATTTTCGCTTGCAGTTTCTTGGTGTGGGGGTTCCATATTTGTGAACCATATTCAAGAATGGGGGACAACATAAGCCTTTATAGCAGGCGATGCCTCAACAAGATTGAAGGATCATTTTGTCGAATATTCCTGAGTATGGCAAAAAGGGTTGTGAATGCTTTCCGAACGATGGTGTCAATGTGATGAGAAAAATCTAAAGTGGAATTCACTAGGAACCCGAGGTCCCGAACTTCATCAGAAATACTAATTGACTTTCCGTTAACCGTGTACGGTACAACCCTGGCTTCTCCCATATGAAGAACAAACGTTTTTGAAAAGTTCACAGGTATCCCCCAAGCAACAGCCCACTCCATAATGTTACATATAGACTGGGTTAGCGCTCGGTGCACGCAGTCATGATTATCCCTGTCATAAACGCCATATATTTTTATGTCGTCAGCATAAATCTTAATTTTAACCAATGGATGAGTGTCAAGATAACGAGGTAAGTCGTAAGTGTACGCCAAGAACAACAAAGGTGACAACACTCCTCCTTGAGGAACCCCACTAGTTGGGGCCCGCGCCTAAGAAGAAAAACTGCGTGAAAAGCAATCACCTACTCTAACGCACATATGCCTATCTTCCAAATAGGAACCTATCCAATTAAGGATGGGGCCATCGATTCCCAACTGCCACAACTTGTGAAGAAGCTTCTTATGATCCACTCTATCAAAGGCTTTGGACAAATCAAAATAGAATGATGATTCCAATCCGTTTACCCTCATTAAATAGCGCAAGGGTCCAATCAAAATGCAGGTCTGCCATTAGAGTACTCGTAGAAGCCCCGCCAATAAATCCATGCTGTTCTAAGGGAATTAGATTATGTTTCGTTAGATGTGATAGAATCTTATCCCGTAATATCTTCTCCAGAGCTTTAGCAGGTGGAGCAGTGATACTTATGGGGCGAAACGAAGAAACGAGCCTAGGCTCCGAAATCTTGGGAATAGCCGTGATGATAGACTCTTTCCAGCTTTGCGGAACCTCACTGAACATTAGAGAAGTATTGAGTATCATGCAGATAGGTTTGCTTAGAGACCATGCGCAGTTTCTATATACGATTTGTGGGATACCATCAAAAGGGAGCGATGTAGAACACTTAAATGACTTCAAGGTCTTATGCACGTCCTCGATGGATACCACACATTCACTGAGGATACTCGAGCTCTCGCGACTCTCGGGGCATACATTTGAAGCAGTCTCGTCTTTCGCACAGAAAACAGAGGAGAAATATTGCGCGAGAGCCTCAGCTTTCTGGAAGTCAGTCAACAAGCGATTTCCGGCCTCATCGTTCATTACAGGGAAATATGAGTGTGGCTTAAGCTTGTACTTGATCAGCCCAAAAACAGCTCTCCTACGGAGATTAGAACTAACCCTCTTTTCCTTACTGGACAAAAATCTCCTTAAATGACGATCGAGCTCACGACATACTTTCTTGTACTGAAGAGCGGATAGTGGGTCTTTATGTGACTCACCATAGAGCCGCGCTTTTTGGGCTAGTAGGTTACTAAATTTGTTATGGCAATTTGGCTACTGGCCAGACGTCTTGGCCAAATCGTAAGATACATTAATTAGCCAGACCGCGTACACAGTACTACAAAATCTTTTGTACATATCATCACAGGAAAAGTAGCCATCAAAAACGCTCCACCAGTTGATTGAGGAGAAGTACTTCGACAGTGCAGGATAATCTGCCTTGGCGAAGTTTGGTAATGGAAGTCGACTTGACATGGATGTGTGGGCAGTAATATCAAATGCTACTGTACTATGATCAGACGCTGCAAGAGGCGGTAACATCGAAACGTTCGTGATTATGGGAGCATTAGATAGTATGATATCTAGCGTAGATTCTCCCCGCGTAGGCACATGGACATGTTGACGAAAGCCACAGCATCGGAATAGTTCCAAAAACTTGGAGGAAACAGAGTTTCTGGCTGTACTTGTTTTCCAGTCAACGTCGATATTAAAATCACCTAGAACAACCAGGTGCTTATCAAGAGTACAGCAATCCAAAGAGAGAGTCAATAAGATTATACTATCAAATCAAATAACTGAAAACTAGGTGGATCGGTGCGGAAACCGAGCCTACAAGCCTAAACATCACAGTGGAGAAACTGTCAAATCCATCGAGACACAGCAATTCGGAGTTGAGTTGGGCTGGAAGAGTAACGGAGGCAAGCAACAATGAAGTTCTGGCTATACAGCAGACACCCCCACCCCTTCGCCTATTGCGATCAACACGGAAAACATTATAGGGGCGATTACCGAGGAGTTCGGCACTCGTGATTTTCGATGACAACCATGTTTCGGTAATGAAAACTATGTCTGGATTGTACGTATCCAAAAAGAAATGTAAGTGGTGCATCTTATTACTCAAACTTCTCGAATTCAAAAGGAAACATCGAATTCCTTGAGGCGTCAACCGTGCGCCGTTTAAGCTCGTTTCCCGACGCCCCGTTTTTTAGGAAGCTCGTCTACGCGCTTCAACTCACCACGGTACACCACCCAGACACGGTCTTTTGCCTGCTTGTTGCGAGCCCTACATTCCTGCCTCAACTCGAACTCCTGCTTACGTTCCGCGGCGGTTAGACTCTTTCGTATATAGATATTTGATAACCCCGCGGTACGAAGCCGATAGCTATTTGTAAGGGCAGTGATCCAGTGGGCTCCTTGAGGGCAAGACGAGTTTCACCAAACGTGGGTGTGCACCGCCGGGTTTCCCCATGCGGTACACCTCCACGGGGCGACACTCGACCCCCAAGCAGTCCAACACTTCACTGACCTTCTCTTCGACCTCCCTCTGCTTCATAGAAGGAGTTGTATTCGAGCCAGACTCCGGAATGCCATAAATCACAAGACTTCGACCCCGCTTTTCTGATTCAACAGCATCGGCAATTGTTTCTGGTAATTTCGTAACCAACGCATTTATATATCTGCCCATGATCGGGTCCTTCAGCTCTTCGTTTCGTTCCATCATCGCACTTATGATTTCGGAAATAGACATTTTTCCAACTTCACTTTCCGATGGAATACTCGCGGGAATATTAGATACTTTAGCGTTGGTGGATTGACGAGTACGTGATTTGCTCTGCGACATGATCTACTCAGAAATATCGAATAATTGACTTAGCTGACCCGACGACAGGTGATTTCTCAGGAGACAGCACCAGTGGTTTTGACGGACTATATAAATGGATAGTGGCTGATTGTATCAAGAGACTCTAATAAGAATACCACGCCGTTAGAGATCCAACAATAGGCACAGACCGAGTAATAATTAGTCGAACGTCGAAATACGGCAGAGCAACTGGTTGGCCGACCGCTCACAGTTATGACTTGTGAGGTATGCTGATTGCAGAAAGGATAGGGTTCATTCACCCTAAAATCTTTCCCTCCTAGACATTGACAGTCTCGTCCACTGTTTACTCCTTCGCACTTTTCAGCGTCAATTGCCTGACTTTATTCGACTACTACCCTATGACGGTGTGAAATTCATGTTCTACCCCTGAAATTCTGAAGTTGCCTGGGAACCACTCTCACTGGAGCCAATCAAGCTTGCTGGATAATCTCGGAGGGAGCGGAGCGGAAGCAGCTTGCCGCGTGTCCCCCCCCCTTGGCACCAAAATTTGTAAGTATTCCGCACATTACTGAAGATAGCGCTAGCCCAGTTAGGTCCGCAGTCCGGTATACTACGCGTTAGGAATCGCACATCTCAGAAACGTCATTCAGCATAGAATAAGGGAACAAGACACATCGTCGTCGTGTAGAACACTTTCGGCCACGTTCGATCTCGACGACGAAGTGTTGGATAAGTTAGGTAAGATGGCATTAAGTTCGGCTCTCAGCGAAAAAGGAAGTTCAAAAGTGTTGGTCGCCAAAGTTTTAACGCAGCACCAGCATATATTGCCGTGCGCAGGGCAGAGCTCCGGAATAGGCCAAGCGCTTTTTCAGCGTGAAGCTTTTCCGAGAACCCTTTCTGCAAAAGGGAAGTTGATCATCCGCCCGAGAGCTCGCTAATCTAGGCTCAGGCGAGAAGCCTCACCCCTCCAGGTACCGCACAACATGAAAAAACTGAGGAGCGCGAAATTTTTCGGGTATATGGTTGGGAGGCGATTTCCCTGCTATTGAGGTGTCATGAGACACATTCGTTATGCTCTAACAGGTAGCGTATTGATGTGAAACCTTTAGCTAGCACCTGTTATGTTCTCCTCAACTATACCTATTCTCTCGATGCATTTTTTAGTGAAAAGTTGTTTGACTCGTGCAAGAAACAAATGCCAGTTTTTTGTTTAATAAAATCTGGGAGCTGAATAGGAAGAATGTCGAGGAAGCCGTTATGGCCGTCCTTCCGAAATCTTCGTTCATTCTACCAAGAGAGAAGAAGGTCAGTCATTCCGAATGCCTTGATTCTTTTGAAAGAAAATGCCATTTTTTTAGATACCTGAGAAGAAAGAACCGACGAAATGGAGAAATATGCGGCAGAAGAAGGTTTGACCAAAAAGAAGAAAAATAAAAAGGTAACTTTTGTCATCAGATGTCGTTATTTAGATTCATACGAGTAGAGTAAGGAGTAGAGAAAACCAGCGCAAGGCTACTGTTTGTCTAGCTTGTACTTTTTTAACAAGTTATTAATTCTCCCATACTGATGGGATCTGAATCCTCGAAGACAGACCCCAGTTGCCTACTGTGTACTATGAATAGTGGTGTTCAGTTACAAATCGCTGGTTGCTCTCGATAGAAGCAAAAAAATCATGAAGAATACCAAGGAACTGACAGTCTTTCTGAACGAGCTCTCCGTACCTGCTCGTTTTATGCAGGCAGAAGATGTCCTGCCGCCTCTGGCTCACAAATCTTTTCTTCGTGTCATCCAATGCTGATGCCATCAAACAGTGAAAAAAAAAACTGTAAAAACTGAACTCGTGACAGAAAATGACCTTTGATTTTTGGTTGGGCGGACACTATACCTTCGCAGGAACTGCCATTGCATGGGGGCCGCAGCGCTCCTCCTCGTTTTTTACCGTGAAGCCTCGAAAAAGGAAAGTACCCAGAGACTGCGCACCAGACTACTTGAACAAGCAAGAATACTGAACTTGTGGCGGCTTGAGCGCTGGAGCTGTCTTTAATACAACCTGTCAAGTTTCTTGAAGATGTATGTTGCAGGTGTTTGATGAAGCAACGAAAGAATGGAAGCCAACATATGGCTACAGAAGAGGAAATGATAATACCAAGGATTGGCTGATAGAAATTCCTGACAACGCTGGTGAGTGTTTGTTTTGGTGTGGTGCTCACAGTGGAGTTGAGGGGTGAATCAAGTCTCAGCCTGCTGATCTTCATGTTCATTGCTTGTGGTGATCAGTGGAGCTTGGACATTGTTAGTACGTCTTCGCCAGCGTAGTATGATCGCTGGAGAGCGAAAGGGGTCGTATTCACGCTTAGAAAAAAAAAAAAAAAAAAAAAAAAAAAAATAAATGTTTTTGATCGTTTGACTTGGCTTTTTTCCCGCGCTGTCGACGTCTCTATTACACCCTGCCTCGAATGCAGTTTTTTTTGGAAGAAAGAGCAAGTAAGAATTCCCTGAAACGGACTTCGCAAAAAGTGGTATGAAGAAATAAGTGGGATGGGGGAAGGGGAAAATGTCCTTATCGGAGGGCGGACTTCTGAAGAGAGTTGGTTTTTTCGAACATATCTACCGACACCACCTGCCATGATTGTGGGGGCTTTGTAACACATTTCAGTACTTTCTGATCTTACAACTAATCATTCAAAGGTCCTGAAGTCTTTCGAAATTGGTCTGCAGTAAACTGCACGGCTTGTTGATAGCCTCCGATAGTTCCCACAAAGGAATGCATTGTTTCAGGAATGATTACTAAGTGTAGTCCTGAGTCTTAGGCTATGTTTACCTTCACTGACTTCTTTTAGACCCGAATAAGGACTACTTCGCTGAGCGAGTTGAGAAGAAGAAGGAGCGAGTAGCGAAAAATGCAAACACAACGTTTGAAAAATCTCGCTCGTCAGATGGGTTCGAAAATGAGAAAAGGACCATCGATTGACGCTAGTATAGGTATTGGTGTTGCACCGGAAGAGAAATCCAAAGAGCAGGTAAGCTCAAGCTATGGATGAGTTATAGCAGACTGTAATACTCATGATGACAAGTCAGGGAAAAAATAAATTTAGCTTCGTTTTGCCGTTGATCGCGCTAAGACAGCTACTGCATCTGCTGGAAAATTTCAACGTCTTGCTAAAGGAGAGAAGGAGAATGTTAAAACTGGAAAGAAGCGGAAGGTGATCTTATCCGTATCACATCAACAGCATACATTGTAGTACAGGGTGTTATGTGCCTCGGACGGTGCCATCATGCAATCCCAATTTTTCAGCGAAGAATAATGTGCAGTTTTGAGGGAGGAGGGCGAGGGAGCTCCGAAGTGGATGACCCACGTCGAACGCTCCTGCCTTTCGCAGACAATAAGTGTTTCATCTACCCCAGAGCTCTCTTTCCGTAATATTTGCATGCTTGCGGTGCAGGGCAACAAAATGCAACAGATGCATTCGCCTGGTGTCCCGAGGCAGATAGCTCCTAATATTAATTTGATTTCTTCTGATTTTTCTCCTTGTACCTGCTTTATGCTACAAAAGCTAGAAACGGTTCAGTTCCTGCCAAATGAAGCGGGTGGTGAGAAACAGCACGCACTGGAAATTTGGGAGAAACTCAAGAATAAAAAGGCAAAAATTGTTGAGGAGAAGGCAGCTGCCGTTGCTGGACCATCGAAACAGTGAGTTTGTCGTTTGACCTTGCGTTTAGCTGAATTCAGATCTTTGGGAACGCTGAAATGTTCAACTCAGAGGCTAATTCATTACATTTTGTATTTCCGTCGGCTTTCTTTACTTCGTGGAGTGTGAAAAGAGCTGCTCACTGAGCATTTTGGCACAATCAAGCTGAGAGGGCATTCAAAGGTATCATTGTGCAGAACTGGTATTGGTGCAAGTAGTACAGGATTACCATGTTTAAATTGACAAACCCTGAAGCATCCCTCTACTTTTAGCTCAGTCAATGCCACTCCTTCGTTAAAGTAATTCTAGTTTTGCACGACGAGTCCTTTAAATCTTCTCGCGAAGAATATCTGTGCCGCTGTTGTACATCGCCTAAGCTCACAGGATCGTCCAGACTTTTTAGTTTTCACTTTCATAAGTAATGCTGGCCTTGTTTTTCGAGCAAAACGAAGTCAAAAGTAGGTAGACTCAGTTGGCGGGACATCCTTCTTCGTCTGAGGGGATCAAATCCATTCAGTTAGGACAGAGCGGGAGGGCCCCAACAAGTATAAGGAATTCCCTCTCTCACCACACAAATTGGTTGGTTGTACAACATAGGACACGCCCTGCCACTGAGAATTTTCGGAATATACGACCCCC